TGCGTTCGGTATTTTGCTCAAAGAGCAGAGCGCAGCCGTAATCACGTGACCAGCGAGCGCACAGAGCAGTTAAACGCTGTATCAGGCTTGAAATTTTATTAAACGAACGTGAATGAGCCTGCACCGAGTATACTTTTTGAATAAACGAACGGTAAATTCATGCACAGAGAACTCAGATCAAAATACCGAATGCACGGTATGTGACCATACTACACGCACAGCAGACTGAAAATTGACAGCATTGAGGATGGGTATAAATTTTCCAGCACGCGTGCCAAAGTGTCACTTCGCTACCAGATTGATTGAGGATGTAGCTTAAGGTTGAATAGAAAATGAAAATAATTTCCCCTGTTCTACCTCCAGCATGAAGCGCTTGGAATGCTGGAGGTGAAACAGGGGAAATCGCTCTCGTTCTCTATTTAGTCTTAGATTTTTCGTAGATTTCATTCTATTACCTTTTTATTCTGCCCCCTACGAAAGTAGATTTTTTTAACTTGCATAGCATATGCGAGCGAAAGCGAAAGTGAAACATGCTAGTACATAGTTACTTTCACTTTCGCTACTAGCATGTTTCACTTTCGCATGCCTATTCACGATTTTTAAAGGGAAAGAATGAAAAGTTTAAATCATTACACGCTGCAAAAGCCCTTTTAGGTGTACGGAGGTATTCAAATAGCCTCGGCTGCACTTCGCTTCGCCTCGGCTATTTGAATACACCTCGCACCTAGAAGTACGCTTTCGCAGCTTGAAATGTAAATAACTATTAAAAAATCATAGCTATCTTTGATTTACTTTTTTTCAAGACTCATGAAAAGCCATAATAGAAAGTTCTCGTGCCTCAGACGCTACGCTAATACGGTACCGCTAACTAAACGGTATTACACATGGTATTTTTATAGTTCTCGGACACGAAGACACATAAATTCTCTAATCCCATATTCTGTTTACATTTTGACAGCTGGGTTGTGTGATATACTCAACTTTTTTTTGTTTATTTTTCAACTCTTACTTATCCTGAAGATTCCTGAGCTTCATTAACTTTCCCTTGGTGTTTTTTATGGAGGAATTATTAGAAGTTGCTGTTTTTGCAGACATAAATGGAACGTGAACTAGTTTTGACATTGCATAGCGTTACGGTAAGGCGTCCGCTAAGTTCCGTTAGATAGTGGGCTCCGCTAACGCTAATACCGTAAGAACTGTCATACTTGTCAAATAGCGTTACGGTATTCGAAATTTGGACGGCACGAGAACTCTCTATTAAAAGCAATTTTTTTTCAATTTAAGCTCTGATGCCATTGGGAAGATTGATGTGATTGAACCAGTGCGTATTTTTGAGTGCCACATCAGAGCCGCTTTCCAGTAACGAATTTTTGGGTGCTCCACACTCGTAGCTTCACACTCTGTGCTCCAAACAACTGTTGTTTCACTGGAACGCACCCTACTTTAAGCGTCATGTTTCTGATGCACTCATAAAAAAAATGCAGGTGCTTTAGAGGGCAGGGGAGAGGAAAACTGTTTAAAAAGGAACAGATACGTGGTGCAACAAACACTTTTCGAAAGGAATAAGCTCGTAACGCTCCGGAGCTGTTCCGGAGCTACTCCTAGTTGTGAAAGGAATACAACTAATATCATTAGTCAAGGATAATACACACTACGAAGGATTGCGCATCGGCCTCCTTTTTGATCATCGCCGCCATATTGGTGTGTCACCATTTTCGACGTCATACCTGAGTCGTCAGCTGTTTGCACTAGGAATCGTAGTTTAGAATTATTATGAAAAATATTATTAAATTTTGATTAACATATAATAGGCAAAAAAGAAGATGAAAACGAGATCTGAATAGTTATTTGTGTATTAGGAGCGCAAAATAAGCCATTGTCGATTGAGAGGGAAAGTTCAATCACTCGACTATTATATATAATTAATGTAAAAACCAAGTATTTACGTCAAGGCGAGAAAGGACTTGCTACCTCTACGTCACAACTGGTGATTTGGCGTGGTGGAAGGCTTCAGATTTGTTCCACACCACACAGCCCTTATGGGATAGGCTATCTTGTAGTAGTGTGTATTATCCTCGTAAAATATTATATTCTCGTGATGAACTCATGACGTCACATCAAAATTGGCTCAAACCGCCTCGAAATACAATCCAATCCACGTTTTTAAACCATTTTCTCGCGTCGAGAAATCATGACGTCATTGTACGTGAAACTATTTTAAACCAGTTTTGAAAAATGTTTGAAAACTTTGAGACGCGACAAAACACCTCCTGTGTGGCACTTTCTTTCCAATGGAATTAGGCATACTAGCTGACGTCACACACAACCTCACATTCGACTTTCGATTGGGGGACAAACAAAGCGTTTGAAGGTCTATTTTTACACGCAGGCGCTAGCCGCGCTAGCTATTACGTCAAAAATCATCTAACGTCACTTTCGATAGGGGGACAAAAATATCATTGCAAGGTTGTGTGTGTGACGTCAGCTAGTGCTCCGGGGCGTTACGCACCTATTCCTTTCGAAAAGTGTTTGTTACACCTGAAGTGCTCAAGCCCGAACAAAACTATTTAAATGCACGAAAAACAGCGCATCTGTTCCTTTCAAATCGGGGTCAACTAACACCGGAGCGAGTAAGTTCTAAGACAGTGAAAAGCTAATAAAAAAACTTTTACATACAGGATACAGGCGACAATAGAGGTCCCGCCGCTATTTTCGGGCTCACCTCTCGCTAATTTTAAATATGAATATATAGGATTTACATGGATCATAAAAAATTGAAAAAAAGTGTTTGGTGACTAGTATTAGGTACATTGGATACATCAAATCCGTTATTCTCAATTTGTTATGATGGATGTCCATTAATCATAAATTCATATTTAAAATTAACAAGAGGTTAGCCCCAAAATGGCGGCGTTTTCTATATGAATATAGAATTTTAAAGAACCATTGAAGCTCAGTGTTTAAGCCGCTCTCCAGTATGGGAGTGTGAAGCTTGGAGCTACTCGGAGCATTGAGCTTCCAAGCAATAAGGCGGTTACACACGGACGTGGATGATTTGATACATATACGTGCATACATCAACGTGCAAACAACAACGTGCATGTCACCTTTGTTCAGACGCTCGCACAAAACTGTCAGTCTTGCTACTCTTGTTACAGTATTCCGAGTGTGCGTGCATACAAAATTTCTAGCGATTCCAGAATTCATTTGAGCGTCATTCTACAATTTGCACATTCAAAAACGCGACGGTATTCTGCATACACATTAGAGAGATATTGCCAATCACAATACCGCATGCATTACGATATTTACGCCGCGCTATTACATAACGTCAAGCTATAAATAAAAGCTGAAAATGAAACTTATTGCCACGTTATTTCTATAATTAGCGCTGCGCTCATGTAGAAGTCAAAATGTCAAATGTTTCGATCAATGGTTTCGATACAACCTATAACCTGACTTTTTTGTTTATTTTGTTTGTTGATTTTTGATTCAGAAATCAGATTTCAAAAAAAAGTAGTTAATTGAAAAACTGTGATAGAGGTACCTACATACCTTATGATGGAGGAAGATCTTGAGGCGGTGATCTTAGCTGGGGCTAACGAGAATGCTTATTGAGTATGTGATTTTGCACCATATACTAGGAGTGGAGCAAAACCAAGGAGAAGTCCTTCAAAACCCTAATATTAATATTGAATTTGATTTGGATAATATGCAGGAAGAAGATGTGAAAAATAATTTTCGATTTGAGAGGCAAGATATCTATAGATTGGCAGAAGCTCTAAGAATCCCTCAAGCAATTCATACTTCAACCCGTAATTCTGTTAGAGGTTAGTGTTATTCATTTCAAGATTCCAGGGCTGGAACTCAATATCTCTATCTCTAACCTCTTCGGTCCGTCTTTTGGCTTTATTGGACCCACCGAGGGAACACCAACACCAGTTCCAATAAGGGACATTTTGTTTAAAATAATAAATACAAACCAAACAAGCTGCCACAAAACACAAACTCAGAAGTGAGAACTTGAGTTGGCACCTCGGTTGGCACCCAAAACCCTAACCCATAACACAAAGAAATAAATAATAAACAAAAATCCTAACCTCTCCAGAGAAAAATCGAAGTAGGAGTTGTCAGTTGTCATGTCAATATTGTGCGGTATTTTGAATAGCGCCCAACGGTACGTAAGCATAAATAACCCGAAGCGCTAACCCTAATAGCGGAAGACACGTAAAAAAGCGAATCGCGCATCCAATAAACGTCAAAATACCGTAAGCGTTATTAGCGCATGACGTTTTTTGTCGAGCAATATCTCTCCATTGATGTTTTTGTTTGCGCGTTCATGTATGTGCGTACATGTTTTCAGACATCCACGTCCGTGTTTAACCGCCTATACGTACGGACAAACGTCTCACGTCATACTGGAACGGTTCAAATCTAGTGCGTGGCGCTCCCGGGGTGCTCTAGAGCGCGCCTATGTGATACAGGAAAGCTCTAAACTCTTGAAAAGAATACAGCTTTTTGAAGCTTCTTGTCTAATTCTGTATTCTTTCACCCATTGAGTTACTCGGAGCTGCTCAATGTCAAAAGCGTGAACGTTCCTTTTAAAAGTTAGTGCTCATAGTGCATCCCCCTTTCCCCTGGTCGGGGATTCTAAAATCACGATTCGACATACGATTCGACAACGAGACGATTTTTCCGACGATTCTAGGTTAGAAATCTCATTGGAATTATAGCTTTCGACACGACAAGGCCGGTATCGTTGTCGAGTCGTGTGTCGAATCGTGATTTTAGAATCTCGGCCCTTATGCACCAAATTTACGGGGGGTGCAAGAAGCCCTTTTAGGTAATGTTAATATTGAAGAATAATGATTATCTGAATTGTGCGTTTTGGAGTGACTCCGAGGAGCTCTAGAGCGACCCGTTCGGTGTTACTCGATGTATAAAAGGATTACAGATAATTTGTGTCTTTCATTCTTGTCAATTGTCAATTGATTGAAAATAAAATATTGAAATTGTCATTTGCAGTGCAGTTGCTACATTCCCGTTTCACGTTTTTAAAGATTTTTTCAATCAATTTTATTAAACCTAACAGAAAAAGTTGTTTGAAACAGTAAAAATGGTAAGTACCTATATACAATTATTGCCTGAGCCACTTAAAACAATGCTTACGAACAAACTTATGAATTTTCCGTATTTGAGGTTATGCGTACCTCCTAGGGTCGCACCTGCATCTTCTAAACTCCCTTTTTACTTCTAGCAACCCCAAATTTTACTACTCAAAGAAGGTACTGACACATCTCAGGGAAAACCTCAATTAATCTCCAACATAAATGCCTGCCAATCAATCGTAGATGCTGTTCGCACCACATTAGGCCCAAGAGGCATGGACAAATTAATTGTCGTGAGAAATGGTAAAGCAACAATATCGAATGATGGGGCTACTATAATGAAATTGTTGGATGTTGTTCATCCTGCAGCAAAGACTTTGGTTGACATCGCTAGGTCACAAGACGCTGAAGTAGGCGATGGCACCACTAGTGTGGTTTTACTTGCTGGAGAGTTTTTAAAACATATTAAACCATATGTTGAGGAAGGTGTTCATCCTAGAATTATTATTAGATCTGTCCGGAAATGCTTACAACTATGCCTGGCCAAAATTAATGAGATTTCTGTGAAAATCAACAAAGCAAATGTGTCAGAATTTCGTTCATTATTAGAAAAATGTGCTGCAACTGCAATGAGTTCAAAGCTAATCAATCAGCAACGAGTATTTTTCTCTAAAATGGTTGTAGATGCAGTTCTACTACTTGATGAACTTTTACCACTGAATATGATTGGAATTAAAAAAGTACAGGGTGGTGGCCTAGAAGATTCTATGTTGGTTGCAGGTGTAGCTTTCAAAAAAACTTTTTCATATGCTGGCTTTGAAATGCAGCCAAAGATTTATAAAAACTGCAAAATTGCTTTATTGAATATTGAATTGGAGTTGAAAGCTGAAAGAGACAATGCTGAAGTGCGTGTTGATAATGTCAAAGAATATCAAAAGATTGTCGACGCTGAATGGAATATACTTTACAAGAAACTGCAAAAAATCCACGAATCCGGAGCTAATGTTGTGCTTTCCAAGTTACCAATTGGAGATGTTGCCACTCAATTTTTCGCCGACAGGGATATGTTTTGCGCTGGTCGCGTCCCAGACGATGACCTTAGAAGAACTCTCAAAGCTTGTGGAGGAGCAGTAATGACTACTGTTAACGATATCAATGATTCAGTACTGGGAAAATGTGATCTTTTTGAAGAGCGTCAAATTGGTGGAGAGAGGTTCAACTTTTTCAAAGGATGCCCCAATGCTAAAACTTGTACGTTGATTCTAAGAGGAGGTGCCGAACAGTTTTTGGAAGAAACTGAACGATCTTTGCATGATGCCATTATGATTGTTCGTAGGACAATTCAAAATGATGCTGTTGTTGCTGGTGAGTATTTACATTTCACTAACATTTTTCTTCTCATGACAATATCGGGGAAAAAAAAATATTCAGAAAATCAATTTAAATAAGATGATATAGAAATTAACACTATTTTTATTACCTATACAGGGTGTTTCCGAAAGAGTGTTACACACTTCAAGGCAGGGATCGACCGATACCGATATGGCATATTGGTGTATCGGCATATCAGCCCTTCATTGGCCGATAACTTTAGACCGCTACAAATCATATTTTAAAAGATCAGTAATCATTACTACGGCTTTTTTGAAGCTTAAAAGAGCTAATAATTGTGGTTCGTATATATGGGAGTGACTAAGAAGAAAGTAAATATTAGAAATTGTTTATAATAAATTTATTTTAAATTAATTAGGTATTTATATAAAAAAAAACTTAACATTCTGCTTATCTAAATTTAAATTCAAAATTACTTATTTATTAAAAAAAAAAAAAACTAAACTTTCTGCTTATCTGAACTCGAACAAACAATATCAAAACATTCAAACTAAAGAAGGAGCGAGAAAACAGATAAAACATTCAAACTAAAGGAAAAGCTGCGAGAAAACAAATAATATATCGGTATCGGCCTTATATCGGTATTGGCCTTCTATAAAGCCATATCGTATTGGTATCGGCAATATCGGTTTTTTAAGAAAAAAACCGTATCGGTCGATCCCTGCTTCAAGGGCAGATAGTATTCATGAAAATAATTAAAAAAAGTTCCTATGGATATAGGTCGGGAAACACTTTGTTTCCAAGATACACGGTGCAAAGTTTTTCAAAAAAATTTAGTGTTTTTAATAGCCCAAAAGAGCTTTGGCTGATTTCAATGAAATTTTCACGGTTTATTTAAACCATTATCAGACATCTACTGGAACAATTAGATTTGTTCCAGAATTTCCATGCGCGTACCCAGCGACCAAGTCTGTTGCTTTTTTTTGCAGAAAAAAATATCACCCTGTAGTTTTTATACGATTTTTATTAATTATTCAGATAAACCCACCAAAAATACAATATTATTGTCTTTGGCTTCTTGTAGTATCTCGCTTGGTTTTCGCGAGAAAATTACAATGCCATCCATACCTTGGCACGTCTCTGAACTCCATAAGAAAAAATGAAAATGCTTAGGAATTGATTGCAAATTTATCGCAGTTTGTTCATTTATGAAAACAAAATATTTGAATGTCTTGACATCCTTATGAAATTTCTGTGCAAATTATCTATAATTTATGCTAAAATATGTCAAAAACTACTCACTCAAATGTGATAAATATGAATGAAGAAAAAATCTTTCATTTTATGGCAAAATATACAGGGTGTTCCATTAAAAAAAGTCGAAGTTGTCTACGTTTCTCCATTTTCCGATGCGATTTTGTTTTCTCTGATACCGTTAAATAAAAATATAGAAAAAAACTGTCAAGTTTTGTATTTAAATTTTTTTTCTATCATAAATAATAAAGGCTGTAGGTATGGTGCTAAATATAATCAAATACCCTGTACCATCGTCACCAAAAGTAACTGGGACACAAATAATGCATAATAATCTCCTGGACTAATTCTGCTGTCATTCATTTCAATGCATTTAATGCCAATGACCTATTATCACAGATAGACAGAACATATCATTGATAAAATAGCTTTGTTTTGGTTGACTACATGTTTATGGGCCAGGGGGGGTGAGCTGTGAAAGCGGCTAGGAGTAGGGATTCAAATGATTCCGCTAACTCCGCCCCCACTTTACTATCACATACTTGGCAACTCTGAAAATGAAACCAGAATCAGTGCTACAAAAGTGTATTCTTATCCTTATATTTTACATGATTTTAGAGAAAGATGCGGATACACTCAGTGCGCACTGAATTGACAAATGGAAATTGTCTTAAAATACAGGTAGGTAGCATATTGACATGACAATTGAAAAGAAGCCGCTGATTGGTGGAAAGGTGGAATTCGAGGTGGAATTTATTTTCTTGCAGCGTTGCTAAGTTTCATTGAAAAATAATCGCATTCCACGTGTTTGAGAAAGATACAAAATAACACAAGGATTAATTAATAGTGGGGAGAGATGCGGTTCCTGTGATGTAGTCAACCAATATTATTGTTTACTGTTCTGTCTATCTGTGTTAATAGGTCATTGTTTAATGCATAGTTTGACAAATATTTGACAATAAAATTCATAAAATAGGACAAGAGCTAATGTGATGCTGTCCCAGTTACTTTTGGTGACGATTGTAAAGTGTGTGTTTTTTTTAAAGATAAAAGTTAAAATGACATTATGTTGGCAATACAATGTAAAATTGTCAATGCTTTCAAATTTTTCATTTAGAAAAGGCTTGTGTTGCCAACATAGTTACTAAATTTTTGACGTGGGGAATTATCTTTAAAAAAAAATCGCCCTTTACCTTAATTCCTATGATAATAATAATAATAATAATAATCACTTATTGGTGCATTACTTCACAAAGTTTACACAAGTCAAAGATATAGAAGCGACAATTTTCAGGAAATTATAGAAACAATGTTAGCAACTAAATTGTGACATAATGCAGAACATGAATAACTATCAATTTTTTAAATCATTAAAATTGTTGGTGGTATATTCCTCTATACCGGGCTCTATACTAAAAAAAGCTTTCTTAATTAAATAATTTTTAATTTTATTTTTGAAACAATTCAAATTTAGCATTCTGATGGAGGTTGGTAGCCCATTATAGAAATTGAGGCAATAGAAGGAAATTCCCATTTTTATTTTATGTATTCTATGGTATTTTGTATAGAGGTTGTCCCTATCTGGTGAGATGTTGGCGTATGTTCTCATGGGTCTGGTAGTCATTGACTTTACACCTGACATGAATCAGACATTGATAGACATATAAGGAGCGCACCGTTAATACCTTTGATTTCACAAAGTCATTCCTACACTCTGCCCGATAAGTTCTATGACACAATATTCGAATCGCCCTCCTCTGAAGTGCAAACACTCACACATGTTCCCAGACCAGAATTCCATATGATATTTTTGACTGGACACAAGTAAAAAAGATGGCCCGTGCTGCTTGCTCGGAAATACTCTCTATCATTGTTCTGAGTGCATAGACTCCTGACGCCACTTTGGCACATATGTTATTGACATGTGGAATCCATGTCAACTTTGCGTCAATACTCACCCCCAGGAACATAACTGGCTCATTATGTAGCAATTCAAATTTTCTAGTGGATATTACTAGGGTGCTATTTTTTGATTCATTCATACTCAATTTATTTGCTGAGAACCAATCAGTAACCCTCAACTTTGTCTCCTCCAGACTCCGTCTGAGTGTTTCAAAATCCTTGGCCTTTCTAATCAGAGTTGTATCATCAGCGAACAATATCAGGTCAGAACTGGGATCACACCCCTCCAAATCATTTATGTAGATCAGGAAGAGCAGTGGTCCCAGCACTGACCCTTGAGGAACACAATATTCTAGTTGAATCTGAAATAAAAAGTTTGCTCTTGTTGAGTTTTCTAAAATCTTCAACTCTTCATATTTTATTGAGGATTTTACTGATTTCAAAATCAATTTGAGGTAGTATTCCACACTCTATTAAGTCCGTATTTGTTTATGCTTAATTGGTTTAACTCGTACCTTGAAAGTCAATTTGTCAGGGTTGAAAACAATGACTCCAAAGCAATGAACCTAGATTATGGCGTCCCCCAAGGGTCTGTATTAGGTCCTATTATATCTTTATTGTATATAAATGATGTCTCTGCTTTATCTATAATAGGATATTTTGTAATATTTGCTGATGACACGACAATACTCTGGAAGCACAAGAATGCTGATATTCTTGCAAGTATTATTGAGACTGATTTGGTAAAGATTAAGGACTGGTGCGACGCCAATCGACTAGTTTTTAGCATTTCTAAAACAAAAATTTTAACTTTCAAATGTTCTCTTGAAAATGTAAGTCTGGACGACAATGTTTTGGAGGGGAAATCAGTTGTAAAATTCCTGGGTATTCACATGGATTCAAAGCTGAAATTTGATACACATATTGAATTTTTAAACAATAAATTATCACAGGGTTGCTACATAAGGCCGTTTTACATCTTGCAATTCTTTCTGCAATATGCAAGAAACTTGAACGAGGGCATGCGCAGAAGTGAGTCAGCTGATTGGTTTCTGCAAGATTCTTGAAACTTGAATGGCATTGCATGCAATCGGTTTGGTGCCATTTTTCTTGAAGGTTTTCGTGCAAGCTGGGGAATTTTTAGCAATTATGATGCCTAAAGTTGCTGCTATTGCTTTCTTCTTTTTATATCGACTTATAAGCACTTTTTGTATTTTTGGAAAATGCAAACATCAACAACACAACGTTAAAAACAAAAAAGTATGGATAAGGTTAGAGAAAGAAACAAGTCAAATTGCAAGGTGTAAAACGACATGCAAGAAATCTTGAATGCAATTTTTTTGCATGCAATAAATGGCATTCAAGTTTTCTTGCAAGCTGTAAAACAGCCTATAGTGAAGAACATTGAGCAAGAACTTGCAAAGCAGGCAGCAAAACTCGCAATTCATGCAATAGTAGAATCCTACATAAGATATGGCATTTCGTTTTGGGGTTACTCCACTCAAACTTCTGTGCATTCAGTTTTTGTTCTGAAAAAACGTGTAATCAGGAGCTTTGTCGAGTTGGCTGCAGGGAAAGCTGTAGACCGCTCTTTACACAGGAGAAAATTATGACGGTTCCATGCATCTTTATTTTGGAAATAGCATGCCTCATCTTTAAAAAATTTTAAAATCAAGTAACGGAATCACATGAATTAAGGCATAACAGACTACCATTGCCTATTCCAAAGCTCTCATTAACGAAGAACTCTATTATATACGAAATATACAATGCTCTTCCTGGAGATATAAAATCCATTGAAGAATATAAGACTTTCCGCTCGACTTTCCGTAAGGTTCTTAAAATTTTTTTGGTAACAAAAGCTTTCTACAGTATCCAGGAATTTTACGGTTTGTCATAGACTGTGATTTTATTCTGTTTTATTTTGTTTTGTTTTTAATTTATATTTCAATAACTTTTAATTTTGTGTTTTTCGTTGCTCCAGTTTGAAACTGTAACTAGGCTTAGTTAGTTACTCCTTAAAATCTGTGATATATTTGTTTTGATATAATTTTTAACTTTATACTTTACTATGATATTATTGTCCCTGTGGTTTGTTTTATCGGTCTGCGTTTTGTTCCACTGTTGTGTCTATCTTACATTTACCATTATCTATTTTTTGTTTGGTTTTTTTTTTAAATAATGTTTTTACACTTCACATTTTATACACTTATTCAATTTTTATTTTTTTGACTGTATTTTTTTAATGATCTCTTTGTATTGACTAGTGTGTATCTATTTACTTAGTACCTATGAATAGGATTAAGATTACTTGTTTTCTTTTTTTTTTGCTTTGTCAATGGATTATTTCTAATTTGTGACAATAAAGCTTATTTGAATTGAAATTGATGGGAGTGGTAGCCCAAGTTTAATAAACATCAACATTTCTCAACCGATTTTAGAACCAATTTGAAGGGGGTAGTCTAGAATTCTTTATCAAGTCCCTGCTAAAAAAATGGTTGTGTATCCCATGTTGAATTTCGAGCAATTGGATAAAACCCTTTTCCTTATTTTAAAAAACTTTCTCTATATTATCGATCCTTCGTCCCCTACTGTCTTTGAAACCACTTAGGCAGTATTTTGGAACACCATGTGTAAGTCCCTTAAGATGTTCGTCTCCAAAATCTTAAGAAAAGGTCATCATGTATTTCCTGAAGTAAAACTGAACAAAAAAGGTTATTGATTGGCTATAATGGGCATTTTTTTGGCAAACAAATCTTTTTTTTTCTAGGTTTTGTGGCTAATTTCAAACTATTATATGAACAATTTTACCTCATATTAAATAGGCACATCAACCACAAAATGTTGAGGTCATTCTCATTTGTTAGGTATTTCCTTAACTCAAAATGGTGAAAAAATGCTACTGATGGGCACTCCTTTGGCAAACAAATACTGAGTTTTTGTGTGTGCAAATTTGCGTGTTTTGTTGGGCTAACTTCATACATCTTCTGTCATGGTTAGTTTAACGCATTTTGTTTGGTTTTCCGTTTGTTAGCTTCTAGGGTACCTAATTGACAAATATACTCTTTTCCAATGGTAATTCAGAAAGCTTCACTTGTAATTGAGGATAGTCAAATATAATTGAGAAAAAATCAAATTAATTTTGGTATTTTCCAAAGACATTCTTTAATATATTATGATGTTCATGGTATTTTCTATCCTTTTTCTTGTTACTGACCAATCCGATCGGTGAAATAATTGCTTGTACCGGCACTTCCGAAATGTTATGATATTAATTACAAAAAAAAAATAATCATAATTTTGATCTTAATTATTTTTCACATGATTCCTGAGATTTTGTGCACAAGAAAAAGGTTCTGAAAAATATAGTTCTAGATTTAACTAATACATCGATCTAGCATATATTCGGCAAAAAGGTCTATCTGAATGATGAAACGATGACGAGACTGAGCGAATGATCCCTACAAGAAATACTGTTCTGGTTTAATAGAGAGTCTTTCTTTGTTTACCTATGAACGATTTTTATTGGGAGAATTTGTCATAGATGATCTTGGCAATCTGACAGATATTTTGAAATAACAACAACATGCTATTTCAATTAAGTTGATTTAATTCAAGTCTTCAGAGTACCTATGTAATGAATTATTCATTTTTTTCAGGTGGAGGTGCAATCGAAATGGAACTCTCCAAAATGCTGCGAGACTATTCAAGAACAATTGCTGGCAAAGAACAACTTTTAATTGCCGCAATCGCCAAGGCCTTGGAAATAATTCCAAGACAACTATGCGACAATGCTGGTTTCGACGCCACCAATGTTTTGAATAAACTTCGTCAAAAACATGCCCAGGGCCATTGCTGGTATGGCGTAGACATCAATAAAGAAGACATCAGCGATAATTTCGAATCTTGCGTTTGGGAGCCAGCTATAATCAAGATCAATGCCTTATCTGCCGCTAGCGAAGCTGCTTGTTTGATTTTGTCTGTCGATGAGACTATTAAGAATGAAAAGAGCGGCGGGGACCAACCTCAAATGGGTCGTGGTATGGGTAGACCAATGTAAAACTATTTCCACCCACTTTTATAAGTGTTTTCAGTTTCTTTTTAACATTTTTTTGTTCTTAATTTCTCATTTAATGTAATCCATTTTTTGCGCATGTAAGATTTTTTAAAGGATGAGGTGAGCTATTAACCCCAATTTTTAAACAATAGAGTTTTTGAAATGTTTCAAACAGTCTTGCTTTGCATTTTTCTGCTTACTGTTATTTTCCTAATTTTTTAAAATTCAAATAAATTAGTCTGTAGTATCGCTCTTCACATAGTTTGTTAATAAATTAATAATTCTATTTTTGTCTGTATTATTTTCTTAAGTTCCTCAACATCACTAGAGGAGTTTTACTTGGGATGAAGACCAGTTGAAAAATCCTACAACGGTCTGAAAATTCCCTCTGCTGGACACTTACGATTTGCAAGCTTTTCTTCTTGATGCTTCTACTCGAACAAGAAACATTTTGGTAGCAAAGCCTAGAAAATATGTAAAAGTTTCATTATTAATTAGTACTCAAACTTCTTCTCTGTATGATTAATTCAATTGAGAGTTGATGGAAGATGAATTGTTTATGATAGTTAATGCTGTTCTGAGTATCAGGAAAATCTTGATTTATAGGGAGACCTGATTCTTGTGGTGACAAACAACTATACGCCTAGTGTGCGCAGCTACCCGAAGGGAGGTATTGGCAATAGGATGTTACCATTATGGTAGCCATTCCTGTAATTAAGAAAAAATTAAGATCATAATTATTAGATAATCTCATTATGCCCTATCTTTATTGCTCATAATAATAGTAAAATGAGTAATATATGACCGCATTCCACATTTCATTTTATTTAAGGAATTTAATTACAACTTTCATGAATCATCGCTTAATACTGGATCTTATCATTGCTCTTCAGTGGAATCGAGTTTAATTATTAATTCAATTAGGTACTTGTTAACAAGTTGATTCTTTGCATAGGGAAGATAAGAAGTTTAGATAAGCCAGTTAGTTATGAATGGGAGATTGTGTCAGAGACTATCACTAGTCAGAAATTATTATTGATTGGGCAAACTTTTACATATATTTTATAAACATATTTTCGTTTACGTTTGTGAGTGATTTAGTTTGTGATTCTCCCGCAGGTTTATCCAACTCTACTGCATTTTGGTGTTTTTCATTGTTCCATATGGGTGCTTAAACTAGAAGCACAGTTTCTAGAAGGGAGAAGTAAAAGGTAAAAGAAACGAAACTGTAAATTAAAAAATTACATTTTTATGGTTTTTATGGTAATTGGACAGTAAATAGCGGCGGAAAATAATTTCTACTTGCGTGCGCAAAGTAATTACTTTGTACCCTCATTGGCCAGCGCAAAGTTGAACTTTGCGCATGGAAACTCTCTGCGCGCTCATTTTTGTTAGGCATAATTACCGTATTTATAGGTACCTACTTGGTTTTTGAACGTTTTAATGTACTTGGTTTTTAAATGTTTCGATGGTTTCTGAATAGCCTAATAATCAAAATAAAGGGATTTAGTTCAATTTAGTGCTTAGTAAACATGACGTTTCCTACCAAAGGTGTCCAAATTGGACCACCCTGTACTAGTACTAGGAATTTGTAGAATTTTTGAGATTCAAGAAACTTTCTTCATGAAAATATTCCAGAAATTCCAGTGGATGTTAGAAGATTTTTGGGGAATTTAATTTAAAAGAAAAGATGTTTTGATGAATTCCAATTTTTAAACTATTTTTGGAGATTTTGCGGTATTTACTATTCTAGCCAATCAAAGTCTTCTTTTTTAAGATAGGTAATGTAGAAAAAGTATTGTTCCTAACACTTGCTCAAAGTGTCTTTCCCACACTTAAAGCTTATCCGAACTCCGCTTCGCACCGTGCTGGAAAGTAGGTATCGCTTTGCGCATTTGTTAGGAAAATAACTAGGTATTCCGTAAACTTTTCACAAATTTGGTATTTCATTAAAATCGGCAATATCCAATAATTAGGAATGGGTCAAAATTGGATAACGAAGAAACTCATAAAACACGTTATTTATGTTAATTTGATGGTGAATTTGAAGAAAAATCAAGTAGCCGGAAGTTAGTTTGGGTTAGGCGGAAATAGGTAGTATAGTATTGCGCAAGCCTCAAAGTGATTCTAACCGCTTCGCGTTGTTCGGGACTTAGGGCAGTGTTGCCACCTCTATTACAATCGTAATAGATCTATTACAATCAAGAAATTTCTATTACGCTATTACCAAAGGAAAAAATCTATTGCTTTTTCGGGAAAATTATGTTTTCCATGAATAAGCAATTGAAAAATTTTACAGGCATCAAAAATTATCACATCAAACCACGCAGAACACTAAAAAAACATCTTTTGTCAATATTGGGTCCTTTGTGCATGAAAACTGAAAACCACTGAATGAAAATGCTTCACTTCCAGTTTCATAATAGGTTTGTTCGGACTTAGTTCAGAATCAGTTCTGAATTGAGCTGCGCATGCGCATTTGTTTATTTATGTTCGGTATGAACAAATGCGTGAGCGCAGTTCAATTCAGAACTGATTCTGAACTAAGTGATTCTATGACTTAGGGTCAAATTATGGACCAACTGGTAAGTATCTGGTTGTTACCTAGCAGGTACTTTCTATTCTCTAGTGCATAGAAAGTACCTGCTAGGTAACAACCAGACACTTACCAGTCAGTCCATAATTTGGCCCTAAAGAATAGATAATCCTATACCTATATCTAATTTATGGCAACAAAAACTAACGCAAATGAGTAAATTGAGCATAAAAATACAGCATAAAAATAAATAATAATAATAATAATAATAATAATAATAATAATAAATATTTTATTTGCCAAAAAAAATAAATAAATATAAATATAGCCTAGTGGCACTAATTTATTTGGGGCAAATAAAAGAAAAAAACCCACTAAAGGCGAACCTTGTGCGTACGGCACATAATGGTGGAGCACCTATTCAATATTTTGGTTATCTCTCATGCATAACTGACAGATGAAAGAATCTATTACCAAAAAGTCAAATCTATTACAATTTTGGCATCAATCTATTAAAATTATCGCGTTTTTATTCTCATCGGTGACTTCACCGATGAATGAGCTATCTTTGTTTAGTGAATGAAAAATGACAATGACGGCCATAGAATGGTGGATCCATCGGTAAAATTTGATGAGAATAAAAACGCAGGGAATCTGTTTTTTTTTTTAAAGATAAAAGTCAATCTGACATTATGTTGGCAATACAATGTAAAATTGTCAATGCTTTCAAATTTTTTATGTAGAAAAGGCTTGTGTTGCCAACATAGTTACTAAATTTTTGACTTGGGGAATTATCTTTAAAAAAAAAACAGGCTTTACATTGAATTTTCGTGAGGTGGCAACGCTGACTTAGGGCAACGGCAGTCGCGTGCCGTGAAAGCACTTTACGGTCGCTTTAAGGTACAATATTTTTTCTAAAGGCATGAAATAAGGAAACATTCCATTTCAACATGAAGCATTTTTTTTAAATCGGGTACTATATGAAAACTAATTGGTATTTTTCTATAAGCATGCGGAAAGTAGCTACTTTCCACACATATAACACAGTTTCACTGGTTTTGTTACGGCGTTTTCCATTTGTCGTCTCAGTGCGCACGAGAATTTTTCTCATGGAGCTGTCATGTGAAAAACGTACACCAGTGCAGTAACTGGAAATAGTATATTACATTACGAGTGTAGAAAGCGACAAATTTCACACGAGTGTTTTTTCGCGCGAGGCGGTAGCCGAGTGCGAAAATTACACGAGTGTATGAAAGACGCTTTCTTACGAATGATGTACACCATTTTTCCTACGACCAGAAACCAATTTACATCAATTTTGTCTTATTTTATTTCTTTTCATTTTCAACACACGTGCTGAAAGTACTTTCAATCCATGTATTGAAAGTAAATTGTTATGTCAATCACAAATAATGTCAACAGTATTTTCCACACGTGTGCTGAAAGTACTTTAAGCACGCGTATTGAAAGTAGCAGGTTTGATATTTTTGTTTAGCACTTGTGCGATTTCTGCTTCTCTGGTTTCTCTACGTGTTTTATTATACTTAAATGGCACACCCTCCATATAAAACGAAACAGGCTAAATATTTGATGCCACGTTTATTTTTTGAAAAATCGCTCTATTTTAAGCACTTCACTTTAGTCTTAGACTTTAGTCCTCTAGGCGGGGTGGAACCAACCCGTACAATTTCAAATGGAACAAGGGGTCGAGTGATATACCTCCTTTAAGAGAGTTAAGGGTTGCCACCTTTTGATTTCCGAAAACCCGTACATAATCGGAGCTAACTTTGTTTTGTAGCATAATTTACACTCATTTCTGTAATAGTATATTTCCTAACTAGTGCGAAAAGTGCCACTTTTCCGAACGCGATTGCAGTTTGCCGAACGACGCGTAGCGGAGTTCCGCAAGCAATCAAGTGAGGAAAAGAGACTTTCCGCACGAGTTAGGAACACTATTTTTTCTACGAGATAGATAGAAGGAACGTACCTCATTGATGTAAATTTTAACACCAATATTTGACATTTCTTTTGCAACACTTGGTATTGAAAACAAATAGAGTAATTTTTTCTTAATATAGGTTATACTTTTAAAAATAAAACTTATTTACTTATTTATTAAAAAAAAATACTAATTCTGAATAATAATTTGCCTTATTCTGAAGACAAGAAAATCGAGAACTTTTAACAATAATTTGTACATTTGATATACATACTATGAAATTTTCGAAATTTTTAGGCATAAAGTAACCATTAGTTTGTAACTTTACAAGAAAAGTTAAGTTTAAACCGAAATAATTCAATAATTAACATTATTGGTTTAATAATTCTCAATGCTGATATTTGTTTAAGCGTGTCAGCTTATAATTTAAAAAGTGACATCTGTCATTTATTTTCCGCACTAGTGCGGAAAAGTGAAACTTTCCAAACTAAAGTGCGCTCGTAGAAAAAATGAATTTTTAGACAAAAATTAAAAAGGTTTTCAATTTCAAACGCCACCTCTCGTAGTTACGGTCTATTTTAAAATTTAAAAAAAAAACCAGAGACACTTGTAAGTGAACAGGGAGAACGACACAATACATACATAATTATTTGTTTTATTAGGCAGAAAAGTACAATATTTAATGCCGCGACTAATGTTCCATAGCCGAAAGCGAAGCGAGGAAACCAGCCAAGGCATTAAATCTGATCTTTTGCCGTGTGAAACATATATCATTTTTTCTCCGAATTTGTTACAGTTTCGCGCATAATCTACTTTTTTATGTTTATCAATTGCGCTGATAACGTTTGTTGAATGGGAAGTAACGAACTTTTCTGCCTAGGTAGAAAAAGTCCTCTTTTCTGTCGCTAACTGGAAACCGGAGACGGTTCGTGACACACCCGTCATTCAAGAAGTAGGAACGGAACGTTCAGAAATTAGTTGGGTATATCCTACGGCGTTCGGAAATCGCCTTTATAAATTTTATATTAAGTATTAATTATTATTAATTATACAGGGTGTCCCACTAAGGTCGGCCAGGTACTATATTATGGAGACCATAGACCTCACGTAACTTGAAAACGAATACAGATATTGAATTGCGGTTTGCGCCAAAATGTAGATATTTTTTTGATCTTTGAGCACAGCAATACAAAAATAATATTATGCCATTTGGATTTTTCATGAAAATTAGGAAAAACTGGATCTTGAATAAACAGCGCCCTCTAGCAGACGCGGTGGGAACTATCGATCTCGAACGAAGTGGTGTTCCTAATAACAATGAAATTCTCTTCCAAATAAACCCAAATTGAATGAGTTTGAATGAGGGGTATGGAAAATACAGCAATTTCTAAAAAAAAATTTCACCAGCTTCCCCCACCCTTATTACTGAAGATACGAAAAAAAGCCTAATAACCAAACTGGCGCAAAAATTGATGAACTTTTGATTTCTGTTGTTAAAACAGTATCTTAATATAGCGATTTCTTGAGAAAAGTTGAATTTTTAGCTATATCTACAGTGGCTAAATAAACCTTTATATACAGTGGCGACAATAGAGGTCCCGCCGCCATCTTGTTTCCAAACCATTGTTACTTTTAAATAATAATATATAGGATTTAAATGGACATCTATCATAAAAAATTGAAATCGACGTATTTGATAACCATTATTAGGTCCATCAAATACGTTGTTTTCCATGATTTATGATGGATGTTCACCTAAATCCCATATATTCATATTTAAAAGTAACAAGAGGTTGGGAACAAGATGGCGGCGTTTTCAATATAAACATATGGGATTTTAGAACCAATCAAAAATAAGACAGCAATTGTCGCCACTGTGGTAATAAAGTCACTGTAGCTATATCTACACTGGCTAAATAAACCTTTACATACAGTGGCGACAATAGAGGTCTCGCCGCCATCTTGTTCCCAACCTCTTGTTACTTTTAAATATTAATATATAGGATTTAAATGGACATCTATCATAAAAAATTGAAATCGACGTATTTGATGATTATAATTAGGTCCATCAAATACGTTGTTTTCCATGATTTATGATAGATGTTCACCTAAATCCCATATATTCATATTTAAAAGTAACAAGAGGTTGGGAACAAGATGGCGGCGTTTTCAATATAAATATATGGGATTTTAGAACCAATCAAAAATAAGACAGCAATTGTCGCCACTGTGGTAATAGAGTCACTGTAGCTATATCATCGTAATTGCGCCCCCTAGCGGTCATCCTAGAAACTTGAAAATAATTTCCATCAATTTCTCTTGGCCGATTTAGTGAAGAAAAAAAAAATCCCGAAGCCGTAAGGTGTATGGTTTCCATAATATCGTACCTGGCCGACCTTAGTGGGACACCTGGTATAGTTATCCAGTTATTCCCGGACATTTTCATCATGCGTCCGGACACCGGACAAACCTTTGAAAAACCGGACAGTCCGGGTGAAAACCGGACAGGTGGCAACCCTGTAGAGAGCATTAAATTCTCTTTCAATTGATATCATTCGAAAGAAAATTGAACGCTCTAACCTCGGCTCTAACGCTCTTTTAAAACAGGTATCAGTCTACCACTGTTCTATTTGGAAAGGTTGGAGCGTGCGGAAAAATGCACTCTTCCGCACTCAGGTCATGAAAGTACCTACCACTTTTCCGCACTGAGTGCGGAAAAATAGAATCCCTAGAAAAGTGGTTCTTTCCGCACTAGTAGTAGGAAATATACTATTTTCTATGAGCGTGCGTGAAATGGCTCTTCCCGCACTATTTGCTGTGCAGGAACACCTCCACGCACTAGTGCAGGAAGAGTTTTCTTTGATTGAAATAATCAATGTGACGTCGAATTGTATGTATTGTATTGTTGATACACCTTTACATTTACCTTTACCTGTTTTTTATATAGGTAGGGCGGGGCACGAAAAACTTCCCACCCAGGTTTTCTCAGGTGTTAGGTGATTAATTGAAAATCGCTCGAACACGTCAATTTTTGTTCTTTGGGGGACACATTTTATTGGTATTTTCACCCTATACTTGTCAACCCCTAAGTGGGGGTGACAGGTACCCCCAAAATTTCAAATTAAAAGAGTGATACGTCAAACTACACAGTTCAGATCTTGGAAAAAAGCATTTTTCCTAATTTTGACAAGCCGCCATTTCGGCAGGTAGCAACTTAAAACTTTGGGGATATAATCTTAATAAAAATAGCTACCAAATGACGTGTCACTCGACCCCTCTTTCCATTTGAAATTTTGGGGGTACCTGTCACCCCCACTTAGGGGTTGACAGGTAGGGGGTGAAAATACCAATAAAAGTCAGTTTCTGCAGAAATCACAAACCAGTCAGAGCGAATTTCATTGGTTGAAAACAGTCAGAAACAGTCAGAAAACTAGTTTCAACCAATGAAATTCACTCTGCTTGGTTTGTGATTTTTGCAGATACAGACCTAAAATGTGTCCTCCAAAAAACAAAACTTGAAGTGTCTGAGCGATCTTTGATTAAACACCTAACACCTGAGAAACCCTGGGTGGGAAGTTTTTCGTGCCCCACCCTGTATAAATACTGTTCAATAGATGTTCAATTTTTCCTCCTGCACAGTCGCATTTTATTTAAATTACATTTTTCCTAACATCACCGTCTTCAGTACGATCGTAGAAAAATTATAGTTCCTAAATCCTAACGCTTGCTGGAAGAAATTTCCGGCACTCGGGCACACCCTCGTGCCGGAAATTTCTCTTCCCGATCCCGTACTCGCTAGGAAAATAGCTATATTTTTCTACAAGCGTGCGGAAAGTTGCTTATTTTCACACGTATAACCGTGCGGAAATAGTATATTGTGCAACAAGTGTTGAAAATAGCACTTTTCACACGCGTGGGGAAATTTGGTGACACGAGCTGCGGGCGAGTGGCACAAACCGTACGAGTGTGAAAAGTGCTTTTCACATGCGTTACACACTATACTTTTTCAACGACTGCCAACGAACCATTTTGGTACGTACTTGAATGCACTCAGAGTTACTTGCAAAACAAAAATTCAGTAGAAGGGTCATTTTCATTTTAGCGTGTGAAAAGTAATTTTCGCACGCAAAAGCGTGTGAAAAGTTACCGCTAACGTCGAAGCGCCACGACTCCAGTGACCGAACGCCGAACTGTCACTGGTGTCAGATAATCAATTGGTCTATTTCTGCAGAAATCACAAACCAGTCAGAGCGAATTTCTTAGGTTGAAAACTTAAGTTGAAAACAGTCAGAAAACTAGTTTCAACCAATAAAATTCACTCACTGGTTTGTGATTTCTGCTGAAACAGACCTTATATCCTTGCGTTCGGTATTTTGCTCAAAGTGTAGAGCGAGCTGAGCGGAGCCGTAATCACGTGAACAGCGAGCGAACGGAGCAGTTGAACGCTGTATAAAAGTACAAATTTTAATAAACGAACGCGAATGAGGCTGCACCGAGTACACTTTTTAAATAAACGAACGGTAAAGTCAAGCTCGGAGAACTCAGACCAAAATAACGAACGCACGGAGTGTCCTATATTTCTAAAGGTGCGTCCAGACTTGCACATGCATGCGGTGAGATGCTACGCAAACACATACGTACGCGAATGTGGACGGTGCTTTCGTAGCTTCTCGCCGAATGCGCTGTCTCTCGCGCATAACTTGAGCCACGCATACTGTGAGCCAGTGTCGGTTCAAAGCAGGAATTCCTAAACGTTATAATCTTGTTAAAATCAGCTTTTTTTTATATTTTAAATCGACGAAAGAACAAGCACAACCTGAATCGCAAGCATCCCATCGAGGCCTGCGGGTGACGTCACCACTATAAGCTGCCATGCTGCTAATAGCGGTGTCGTAACTTGCAGGCCGGCCGACTCGAGAATTGGCGAACCTACGCTTTACGAGGATGAGCAATCCTGTTAGTTTACGATTCTTCCGTCTGGCTACATCAAAAAATCGCTGTCGGGGTACTCCCGCGGAGATCTGTGACGTCACCGTCCAGACGGGAAGTGCTCTGGGAGTAATGTGCAAAGCCGAGCAGATCGAGCGGATCTAGCAGATACAAATGAAAACCTTTTATTTGCAGTTTGACTAGTTTGACATTATGGAAAAAATAAATACTTCACTTCCACCATAATTTTTGTTTTGAAGCTCAAAGTTATTTTTAGATTGTTATATTTGTTCTTTGCATACATCCGGGTTTAATTAGTTTTAATTATATAAACACGTATTGTATTTCAATTATTTCCTCTTGCTGTTAAGTTTGCTGTTTTTATTTTTGTCTTACATGCCATGACAGGTAATTTCTTATTGCCAATTCCATTGACCTTTTCATATAAATTGTTTTTTTTTCCAGAAGAATTATTGTTATATCAAATTATCGATAATGCTAAAATCATCGGTTCAAAGTAAGATTCTAAAAACATTACCAGACGATAGACCTATAACTGCAATTCAGGTAAATTTATTTTCAACTTTTTGGCTCATTATGTAAAATTGTCTTTGTCTTGTAGATTGTAGAAAATTTGGATAAGTGCCCCAGAGGCTTCTATCCCATTTGTAAAACCTACGATCAAGATTCAGACGCCGATTTAGGAGAAAAATCTATTTTTAAGGGTAGTACTGAGAGATTCTTGTGCCTTTCAAAGACAGAAGGTAAATTCAGAATCCAATTAGTTTCATTCAAATTACCTAATTAATTAATGCCTTTAGGTATCCCAAATTTTGTTGTGCAAGAAGTGATTGTCTTAAACGAAAAAACTGTACCTCCAAAAGGTTTCAGTTTGCTGAACAGGACTGCCGATAGCCAGCAAAAAGCTTGGAAAAAGAAGCAGCTTTGCTATAGACTGGTTAATCAAAAAGAACTGAAAACTGCCATCACTGATATTATAGTTTGTAGTCGCTTGAAGAAAGCACCAACTGGATTTTCATTTGCAGGGTAAGTGCTGTTCCTGTAAAGAGAATTGAAAAAGTAATATATTTAAGAAGGTAGGTACCTATTAAACAATTGGAATACTTACCTAGCTTCAAAAAAGTTCGAAATAAATAATAGTTATGTTGATTTACTTAAACTTATACAGAAAAAAGTAGGTACAATATCTCGTAAATTATTATTATGAAAAAATAGATCATGAGAAGGATTCAGGTTAACTGTGAAAAACATTCAAATTATTGATAGATTTAATAGCTCATTAAGAAATTGATTTGTTTATAATGGATAGTTATTTTTATAGAACAGAGTAGGTATAGCACAAACAACCGAGCAAACAACTTATTCATTCAAACTGAACAAAATTCTTAATAAATTGCAAAATTGAACTCACCTTGTGTCATTGGCGATGAAAGTCTATGGTCATGAATGTCATGATTATGAGGTTCTCTCGGACGCTCTACATTTTATTGATACATCTCTGCAATGAGGAGTATTGATAACAGAATAGAAATCTCAAATACCAAATACCATAATATCCTGCTGTGTTTAGGCCAGTTGACATGGTTATCTTGTATGGAGAAAGTTCTAGAGTTAATAATATTCTCACTTTGCTTTGAATCAATATGGAATCATTCTTGAGAAACAGCTTCACTGGATGCATGCAAGTGTGCCGGCCCTAACAGGCTTTCTCCAAATTTCTTGAAAAACTTCGGAGATTCTCTGGTCTGTCCTCTCTGCAAGATATGTCAAATGTCATTCAACTCAGGACTTGTGCCGGACCTATGGAAAATATCTACTCTAACCCCAATTCAGAAATCGGGTGACAAAAAGGATGTTAGGAACTACTGGACTGCTTCTTACTCTCAGGATAGGCAACAAAAGGTCAGAGTCTGTGGAGCATACTCTCATAGCATCGAAGTCACATCAGGGGCCGTATTCTTGATTTCTGGGAGGAGAACTTGCTCGGGAAGTGAGCGTGGTTCATCTCAAAACGGTACATGTCATATTCTTGAAAATGGGGCTGTGAAGTGGAAGTTCCCGGGAATTCTGAAGTTCCCATCCTCTCACCCAAGAGAAAACGAGTTCCCGCCAGGGTTTCTAACCTCAAAAATTGACGTTGTTTTCAAACTTGACATTGTTTTTGTATTCTCCTTTCAAGTTCACCAAGTTCACGGCTTTTTCGTTTTCATATGTGTCATTTTTATGAATGTGGATTATTTTAATGAGATTATCTTGAATACAGAACATAATCCAAGAAGACATGGGAAATGCTGCGGAAGCGAAAGAAATAGGATACGATGTTCTGCGTCGAAGAATTCTTTTTCCCTTGATCAGAAATTCATGAAATTTTTAGGAGTGAGCAAAAATGTATGCCACGAAATAGTGGACATGGTTACTCCATATGTTACCGCTTCAATGCAAATCTCGGCTTCAACCAAAACTACAAAGGTATGCATTGAACACAGTATTCCAGAAGTTGATGAGCCACATGAAGTTCAGGAACAGGAATACGGAATTTATACTGCGGAAAATTATGCGGAATATTTCCCTCATGTATAAAAAATTTCAAAGGAGGAATACAATTATCGAAAACACAGCGATGATGCTCATAGGGTACCTAACTAAAAATAAATAAATTATCAAACCCAAACGCCTTTCAGCTTTCAAAGTTTGGAAAAATAGACAATAATAAACATCAAACGTTGGGGTTAGATTACTTCCTCTTCGTTTTTTTCGCTTGAAAATACGTTTTGGTTAGTCCGAGTGACACTCGCATAGGCGGCAACATTGCGAGCGTTTGTGGGTATTCAAGAATACGACCTTTTAGCTCCCGGGAGCGAAAGTGAACTAGCTTTCCTGGGAACGTTCCCGGGAACACTCCCTTCCCGGACAGTCAAGAATACGGGGCCAGGGGTCGTCCAGGGCTCACATGTAGTGAGTCACTTTAAACATGCTCATTGTCTTCTGTACGCTGACAACTTGAAAATTTACTGTACCGCCAATCAAACAACACAGACACTCCAAACTGAACTCAATCAATTTGTAGGATGGTGTGGAATAAACCACCTTCATCTTAATGCTGGGAAGTGTAAACATATGTCATTTTACCGAATCCAAAATCCTGTTACCACGGTTTACAGAATAAATAACACAGAGCTAGAAACCGTCACATCAACACAATAAAGGATCTAGGTGTCACATTGACCATGTTACCACCATAGCATTCCGACTATTAGGCTTCATAAAGTGGAACATCGAACACATTGATGACGTGAAAGCGATAAAATGCCTTGCTTATTGTTTCCTCAATGGATTCAGTAGATTTGTTTCCTGTAGGTGTATCAAATAATTTTTATTTTTAGTAACATTGTATTGGGAAATTCTCCGATTTTTCTTTAAACCCATTCTCAACTTCGTTTTTAAACTTTTCTTATTCCTTTTTGGTTTCACACTTAACCAAAATATTTCCTTTCTCTATTTTTCCTTATGCCAACATTTAAATTAGCGAGATTTATGGATTCTTGGATCTCTCTCTTACTCACTGCTTTAGGTTTTATTGATTGATTGAAAAGTTGGTAGGTATGCTTTTTACTGGATTTGCCATAGTATCGGATTTATTTTGTCGCTGCACAGTGCTAGGTCGTGGTCGATTTCCATGTTTGTTCATATTCTTACAATAACCACCCTTTAAAAAAATGGAAAGGGAAAAAAAGAACTAATCAGCCCTAGCGGTGGTAAATTCCCAGGAATGTTATTTGTTGGGAATATTCCTGGGAAATATTTCCAACAATGTTTCCAAAATGGGAATTTTCGGGGAATTTTCTGTTTTAAGTGAAAACCCCTATTTATATACTCCTGGACAAAATTATCGCACCACTGCACATAAGCACCACCATATACAGTGGTGCGATAATTTTGTCCAGGATTATATGAGTAGAGTTGTAGAGTATGTGTGAAGTGTGCAATAAAACAACTATTTGGTGATAAGTCAACAGCTTTATCTATTCCAAATGCCTTCGAGAAGTCAGTATAGATAGCATCCACCTGATACTTATTCTCAAAGGCACCCAACAGAGCCTGCTCATAGGTCAAGAGATTAGTTACAGTGGATCTCCCCTTCCTAAAACTGTGCTGTTCATTCATTATGATCCTATTGAGATGAGAAGACAAACTATCAGCAACCAGTGATTCAAATAGTTTAGCAATTAAAGAGATCCTACTAATAGCTCTGTAGTTTTTGACATCAGCTCTGTCACCATCCTTAAAAATAGGTGAAACAAAGGATTTTTTCCAAAAATCTGGAAAAACTCCTGTACTTCGGGACAAATTAAAAATCTTACATAAAATGACAGATAAAACATATTTACAATTTTGTATCACAGACGCGGGAATCCCATCAGGACCCATTCCCAAATTTTTCTTCATTTTCTCAATCTTATTAAAAACATCAATAGTGGAAAACTCTAAACAACTTAAATTAACACATTTGTCATAATCCAAAAGTAAATCGGTTACTGGACCATCAAAATTTGAGTACACAGAAGCGAAATGAGATCTAAACATCTCCGTGATTTCCTGGGCATCGTCAGATTCACATCCATCAAAAGTCATGCATTTTGGATATTCTGTGCCGCCTTTTTTTGATTTCACAAAGCTCCAAAAAGATTGCCTATCATGCAGTTGATTTTCTAAATTTTTCACATAGTTTTTATATGATGTTTGAGAAATATTATGGCATTCAGATCTTAAAGTAGCAAACTGATTATAGTGTTCTTGTGTGTGTGTATATTTATAATTTTTGTGAGCAATTTTTTTTTGTATGATTAATTTTTTTAAGTTATCAGGCATCCACTTTGGAAACTTTGGAGTTTTGAATCTAGATAAGGGTGTAAAAATTTCAATGATGTCGTAGAGTACATTATAAAACTTAGAAACCACAGCATTCACATCTGTGCACTCAAAAATTGGATCCCAGTCAGTACAGGAAAGTTAAAAATTTATTTCGCTGAAATCAGCACTTTTAAAATTTAAATAAAAATTGTCACAAGAAAGGTTTGGGGGCTCTTTGGTCAATAAAAAATTGCATTCAAACGCTGGGTGTGGTAAGTCCAGCTTGAGTAAGGGATTATTGCACACAGAAAAAAAAACTGATGAACACATGCTCTCAATAGTTAGGTTTAGGTATACAAAAAAAAAGAAAAATAAATTAAGCTTCCATACCAATAATTATGTAAAAAAATAATTGACAAATTCTGTTACGTGTATGTTATCGTCATTTGGTTCAGATCCAGAAGAATCACTAGTCACACTCTAAATTTCTTATTGTTTGTTGTTATCACTCGCTAAATAGTGCGGTTTTAATATCCAGGCTCCGCACAAAATCAAAATAAAAATTCCAGCGCCACCAGCGTGAATAAACTCACATAAAAAATAAATTCCCTGTAACGGAAATTTATTTAACCTTGGAGGAATATTCCCGGAAAAATTCCCATTTTGGAAAATTTCCAAATTGGGAATATTCCCTTTGCCCATCCCTAGTCAGCCCAGTGGAGTTTATCAGGATGTTGTGTTTCTTCACCATCATGGCTTACGCATCAGCCGAGGTATTAGCAAAGGTTTTATTGTTTAGAGTAATTTTCCATTAAAGTCAATATTTACTATAAATATGTTTTTAGTAGGTATTTATAAAAATGTCCAAGAAATAATGTTTTACACTATTATCCAAAAGAGCAGAATTTGCTAAGTAGTTTTAACATCAATGTCTCACATTTATTCAGGAGCAACACTAATAATATATTACTTTCACAGCAAATTTTTATAACACTGATGATTTATTTATTAATTCATTTAATCCTCGATGTTGTTCTTCAACCTGACGTTGTTAGGGTGGGAAATTTAGAGAATTATGAATTAAGTTAGATTATATTGTAGATTATTGGCATATGGTCCTTCATATTGGGGTATTTAGCCAGTTATACAAATTTAAGTCTTGGCCAAATGGGTAATTCGGATTCGAGGCCAAAAAAGAATTATCATTTAGGTATTTTCCAAATTTAGTATGTTTTGAAAATTACAAAGTATAGATAGATAGATATATATTTCTCGTTCTTTCAGCATTTACAATAAATACTTAATACCTATGTGGCATAGAACTCGTCCTTACGTCTAACATTTAATAACAAAAAAACAAAACAAAAAATAATAATACAATAAAACACAATACTGATTGATTGATTCCTAAAAATGATTTCTGTTTTACAATATTTGGTACAATTTCACGTCACTTTTACATTTATCATCATTATCTCATTCTACATTTCGAAATGCATCCTCATCCTCAAAAAATTCCCTAAGCGAATAATAGGCCCTAGATTCAAGAAAAATCCTTACTTTTTTTTGTAATTCCTTTGTTGTCATGATTTTAAATGAATTTGGCAGAGTATTCCACACCTTAAGCATGTTGTGTGTTACATTTTTCTGTATGTATGTAAAGTTTGCCTTTTCTGTTTTAAGGTTGTTCTTAGATCTAGTGCCATATGGGTGGGTTATCTTGTTTGATTGAAAAATGTCGGGATTTTTTATGACAAAGTTTATACAGTCAAGAATGTACAGGTTGAATACTGTATGAATTTTTAGGTTCATGAAATGGTTTCTACAGCTCTCTGTTTGTTTCATCTTTAAGATTACCCTGATACATTTTTTTTGAATTTTCAGTATATCTGAAGCTTCTGCCGAGTTCCCCCAAAAGATCAATCCATATCTAATTCGAGATTGCACATATGCATGATAAGAAGAGAGTGCTGCTTCAAGGTCCACATTATCTCTGATTATTCTTAGAGCATAAATATATTTTCTTATTGACTTAGATAGTCCCAGAATCTGCTCTCCCCAGCTCAAGTTGTTATCTATTGTCACGCCCAGGAATCTGACATGATCATTTGATCCGAGCTCCTCCCCTTCATACCATATACCAAACTGATCTGATGATTATAGTCTATTGATAGTCAAATGAGACAGTAAAAAAAATAATATTCCTTTGGCCGTCGGCGTTTCCTTTATGAAGCACGGGCGGAGTAATAGAAAATTATTAAAACAGTTTTATATAAAATAAAACATGAGGCACGATACAACTCAAATAGGAATCAAATGTATAAAAACTATCTACTGCACTGTTTTTCCAGACGAAACTGATTGGCGAGCGGCGGCCGCTACAAAGAAATATGCCGCCAAAGACGCCGCCGCTTCAAAGAAATATGCCGCCAAATACGCCGCTAAAAATTCTAACCAATGAGATATTCCTGGAATCAATGTTGACTGTATGAAACAACCAATAAGATGCATTGTTCGCACTTGGATTCGCATCCAATGTATAGGGGCACGCTCAATATATTTTTCCTAATAATAGTATAATAATTTTCACGGGCAATACGATAATTTGAGGAGACCCCAATTTTTGCCTTATCTGATTTGAGAAACGATAGACTATACCTATCTCATATTATACAATTTCACCTATTTAATATTGGACAGAAGACTTTCATATTTTCATTGAACATCCAATTTAGGGCCCAAAATTAAATCCTTGAGCTTGTTTACTAAATGTATTCTGTTACCTACTTATAGGGAAATCAACGGAGTAACTGTTTGCTACAAGATGGGCAACTCAGAATCCAATCCGAATAGTCCACCGGACCGACCACCAAAATCTTCTTCTCTTAACAGTAACAATGTTTATCCAGCATTAGGTAACTATTGTAAAATATCTCCTCTCCCAAAGTATTTGAGTAGCTACTGCTTAACTGGGAGAAAATAAGTGTACTGCTTCTCAACCATTTTTTTTTTATATAGGTAACGATGATGACTATGAAATTCTAAGAACCCCGGGTCCAGGTGGTTATGGGCCTATTAGGCCTGCACCTAAACCTCCAGCACCAATAAGTCCTGCTCATCCAGCATTGCAGCACCAAATGTCCACTCACACACTGGGCAATAGTTCCTATTCTGGATTGGAAGGCGTGCCATTTACTGTTAATCCTAAGTTTTTGGTTAGTGGATCTAACAACAATCCAGTAAGTTTCAATTTTCTGTGTCACTATACTAGTTATCAAGATGCCAAGGGCAATAAAAGGTAGATAAGTGCATTAATGCAGACTCGGATTCAGGGCACTTAGGTCATATTGCTCGTTGTGTCTTCAACATTTCATGCAGTACATACCAGTATTCTTATTACTTACCTGATTTCAAATTATTTTGCTTAATTTAAATGAAAAAAATACGCCGTTCATTTCACTCTGGCGTAACTATTTTCTTCATAAATAATTTCCAACTTTCTCAATCGCTGAATAAGATAGGGTCATCCCCAACTGGTTACTGGTTAAATAAATAGCTTGGGTTAGTTTCTATGTTGACATGTTTCATCCCAGCTTCTCTCATCAAAACATTTTTTCCTCCGGAAAAATAATAACTAATTTTTGAAAATTCTTAGTTCCAGGTACCAAAAATCAAGATCAAAACAATGCAGCAGATATTGACTGAATATGACTACCCTTTTACAATTGAGAGACAACTCCAGTAGGAGAGAGCACAAGATAAAATCAGCCAAGGAACAATAAGTTTGTGTTACATTTTAGGCGTTGTGTTGTTTTCGTATTTTTTTTTTCGTGATTATGTTTTTCGTCCTTCAATTTCTCACTTTTTTTTTGCTCAAATTTTTCAAATCTTAATGGGTATGCCATTCTATCGTTTGCCAGTTATAAATAACCGTGTGCCAATAATTTAGCCTGTTCGATTTCTTGAAGAACTTTTGAAGTAAATTAGATTAGACATATATATTATTTAATGGTAAATAAAATGGTAAATTCAAGAAAAAAAATGACTAGTTTCAATTATGAATATTTTCAAACCATTTCAATTTAAACTTGTAAATTCAACCAGTTGGAGCTCAAAGCTTCATTAAGTGCTAGTTTGGTACTGAGATATTTGGTGCTTAGGAGTTTTAAAGTAAATGGAAATACTATCATTAGTGTAAACAAGAGACTGTCCTAATAAAAGTGATTTTCTTCTTAATATTTAATTAAGATCATGTTTTTTTTTCAGCTTTTTTTTTTTTGTGAACATATCTTACTATTTATATTCGGACATTGGTTTTATCCTCTATAATGTAGCCAGTTTTCATATTATATCTATCTACGTAATGTGTTTTTTAAGATTATTTTTTTAGTTATATGTATTGCACCATAAATAAAATTATACTCCTTTTTTGTAGTTGTAGGTACCACCATGTTTAGGCCAAATTTTAAATGATTTTATGAAAATTGTTGACGTTTTACCACATTAGCCTTAGATTAAAATAAATAAATACAATATAGTTTAATAATTTTTTTTATTCATCTTTGTCCCCCTTTAGGCAAGAAATAAGATTATAATAACACAATAGATGCTTTGATTTGGTGATACAACTATAATTGTTATTGTTGCAACATTTCTATTGATTATTTCATAGAAAAAAATTTGCATACAAAAGTTGTCCAGTTATAAAATATGTAACAAAATTTTGCAATTGGGTCCTACTACTTGTGAATTAATACCGAATTTATGTTAATCAAAAGTTCATTCAATGTTAAATAATTAATGGATTTGAATTTGTTTCATTTGTAAATGTTAATAAATCACTTTTAAAAAATGGGAGCACTCATTAATTAAAAATAAGATGTTAAGTTTACTAATGAGATGGTATCTGATTTTTTTAGTTCATCTGTGAGTGGGTAATTATTCATTTGTGAATTGATAATTGTTTAAAATATACCCTTTACAGAAAACTAAGGACAAACGATTTCGAAATAGGTAGGTATGTATTATAAATAAGAAATTACATGTACTTGGAATTTTTACAATGATTTTTATGCGTAGCAATTTCGATCGATGATATTCTTTGAATTTCAAAATATCTACCTACTTATAATTATGCTTTAAGTAGGTACTACGATGATATACTTTGAACTCTAAAATGATACTTATACTTTAGGCACCTACCACGATCATATACTTTAAATTGTATAAGTCCTTATCTCAGTCCAGTCCTTATTATCTCTCAACCATAGCTTAGTATGTCGTTCACAGTCGGCTCATGCTCATAGAGTTTCACGTTACGTTCACTCAATCACAAAACAAAACCGAAGCTGCTGCCGTTTTTCATTGTTTTAGATTTTGATCGCTCTTCTGGCATGTGGTTCATAAACCAACGGACGAAGAAGAGAAATACAGCGTGTTTTGTTGAGCAGCTTTGCTTCATTTCTTATTAGATGTAACAACATTGATTTAAATTTTCACCAGTAAAATACATTATAAACATGTGTAAACACGTTAGATATTACCCACTTTTCAAAAATCTGGTAAAATAATCCTACCTATGGTAAATGTTTATGGGACCAATCGTCCGAGCTCACCCCAAATTCCGATAGGTAGGTACATACCTAACACGTTAGTGATAAAACCCTCTATCTTGATCACTAAAAAATACCAATGTATGAATCTTTATAGGTATCTACAGTGCGGCCGTAACGTAAGGAATAAATTCAATAATTATTCTTCCAAGCATTTTTTAAAAAAATCCCCGAACACGTCAATTTCATTTTTTGTCGAGCATTTTTTATAAAATAAAATTATTATACAGGGTGGTCGCAGAAAAGCTGGACAGGTAGTAACTTGATTTTTTTAAATGGACGCCCCTAATTTTTCTGACATTTGGATTGCTGATAAAATTCTAATGGCCATTTGCACGACTATCACTTGAGGGATATTTAATTTAAGTGGAGCTTTGAATGTGACTTTTGTTTCTACAGGAGTCACATTCAAAGCTCCACTGGGATTGAATATCCCTTAAGTTGTAGCGGTGCAAATAGCCGTGTTTTTCATGAAACATGTCCTATACCTATCTTTAATTTTTTCGGAAATATTGACAGTTGAAAATTGACTTTTTGCAACTTTGACAGGCTGTAAAATCTAAAAGGTTAATTTTAGAGGAAAACCGATTTCACATTTCTGTCTTAGACTTTTATAAGCTATCATTTGACACCAACTTTGGATTTAATCTAAGATTAAAATTTCTAGTTAAAAAATTTAATCTCCGGGTAAATTCAAAGTTGGTGTCAACTGTTAAAGGATAGTTTATGGAAATCTAAGTTAGGAATGTAATATCAGTTTTCCTCTAAAATTAACCGTTTAGGTTATACCGAGGGTTATACAGCCTGTCAAAGTTGCAAAAAGTCAATTTTCAACTGTCAAATATTTTCGAAACAGTTGAAGATAGGTATCGGACATGTTTTATAAAAAACACTCAGAATTTTATCAGAAATCCGAAAATGACAAAAAAATTAGGGGTGTCCATTTAAAAAAATTAAGTTAATACCTGTCCAGCTTTTCTGCGACCACCCTATATAATAATTTTATTTTATAAAAAATGCTCGACAAAAAATAAAATTGACGTGTTCGAGGATTTCAAAAAAAATTGCTTGGAAGAATAATTATTGAATTTATTCCTTACTTTACGGCCGCACTGTATATGTAAGTATAGGAACTACCTGATTATTATAAAATTCCGATATTACAATATGGGCGATAATTATTTTAATAAAAGGGTCTTCAATGAATGACCCTGAAATTTCGTATTTAGCAAGTAGATGTAAATCTTCGGGTGGGAACCATTGGAAGCTAAATGTCTTCGGAAGAACCAGTTTCTACGTTCCACTGATTTCATGGTAGGTACTGGTTTTGTTTTGTCTGAAATAAATCCTTCAAAAAATTACTCGGGGTATTTCAACATGTCACTTAATATAAATTTAGCTTTATCATTACATTATAAATAAATTATTATGCATTTTTGATAGGTAGGTATAGTTTTTTACCAAGAAGTAGGTAGAGATTCCTCCCCTCCCAGTCTAAATATGAGGAGGGACGAGGGATCGAATATTATTGATTCGGTTTTTTTTTGTTCCTTTTTTTTCTAGAATAATTTGATTGAATTGAAGATTTAAAAAACTTTAATAGGCATCTACCTATTTTCATTTATTCATATAAAGTCAGTGCAGGGTTTAAGTTGTTTAAGTAATGTCAATCTCAGGAAAAATAATTTCAAAACCCAGCTTTACATTCGCTCTACTTTGTCAACTAACAAACTTGAGTTTGAGAACTCTCTAATTATTGGGCATAGGGGGTTTATAAGGCCAATAATTGATCATGTTCGTTTGAGAATCTTGAAGTCCAAATACGACCGGCGTGCACCCCTACTCACAGGTTGAGGTCCGATGATTATGATGGCCACTGCAGAAATTGCTGGTTCATCTATAATCATTTCATTTGTCAACATTACAAGATGAGATGTAATTTTCATGTTAAAACACAAGTCTCACACAGTGCTTCGTCGGAATAAAATCAGGAATATTAATATTCCATTTTGTAATTCAAATAAATAAGAATTTACGAGAATTCTGGATATTTTTCGGATAATTGGTTTTGCAAGTAGAGCGGATAGTTTGTTAGCAACAGTCACTTTTAGTAAGATAATCAATAATAGTTAAAGCAATAGGTGATTAGTGAATTTTGTAGTCTATTAGCTCACTGAAAGTAGTTGTTGTTAGTAAAGTGAGTTCTAGTGAAAGAGCTTTTCTTGAACTAAAACACTTTATCAATAAATATTACACTTCTATAGTGTTCTATTTGGAGACCAGGATAGGGATTCTAATTTTTTTTTGGAATTACTCGAAGTCGAAGGATGCGACTTGGAAATAACATTGATGTTGCATATACGAGAGGGCTGGGACTTGTATCACTATTCAGTGATACAAGAATAGAGACTTCATTGGTTTAGACATCGAAAAACAAGTCAACAAAGTACCTAAATTCCAAACTGTTCTCTTCGAAAATACGATCAGGTACCGGATTTGTGACTTCACAGGACTTTATATTTAAAATCAAGTTTCAAAAAAGATACGAGTAGTATACCGGGTGATTCTCAGATGACGCTCGTCCCTGTATTTTTTTTATCTTTTAAGATTTTCATCGCATATTTTGGTAGAAGGTATAAAATCATTGGTGTGCATTTTTTCATATATTAAGTACCTTTCTGATACTTCCAGTTCCACCGGGAACAACCCCAACTTTGAAATTTTAAATGGAACACCCAGTATATTTTTAGATATTTAAATTAATTCGCCATTTGATTCTAAATATGAAAATATATATCGATTTAATTTTTTCTACTACCATGCGTAAAGTACTCACTTTACGCACTATTCAGAAGACTTAAAATTTCACTTCACGCACTAGTGCGTAAAGTAATTCACTTCACACACTAGTGCGTAAAGTAATGTCAATGACAGATGTTGACACTGTCAATTTGGAATTTTTCTGGTAAATTACTTCACGCACTAGTGCGTAAAGTGAAAATTCTTCACGCACTAGTGCGTAAAGTATTTGTCTAAATTTTTTTTTTTAATACAGGTTTGATTGCTAGTAGAAAAAAAATTCTATGCAATACGTGCGTAAAGCACCTTTTTTCACTCATGTGATTGTCAAAATTCACATTCGTGAAAAAAGGTTCACTTTACACACTTGTTGCATAAATAACTATTTTGACATTTCAGCCATTGGAAATTTTTAAATGCTTGAAAGTTAATTTTTTTCTTATGGAAAGGGTAGTGTCAACACAATAATATATCCTTTCATTTTAAACTTCTGCTAGATTGCTTAACTTTGAAAATACCCTCGTAAAACAAGTTGATCACCTGAAATAATGTTGAATGATAAGCACCTTTTATATTAAAAATTTGACATATCCAATTTGGCATAAAAAATAAGGCAAAAATACACTAATACACAATGAAATTTTATAATGTAATATAATATTAATAAACTTGGTAACTTTGGTCCGCCGCATTTTGGATAACGGTGGGAAAAAAATAATAAGAACTGAACACTGTACCTAAACAATACATATTTCTACAATCCAGGTATTCTTTCGATCTGAACAAACTATGAATGTAATCACATAAGGTTTGTTTATCAGGCGTCAAGAAACAGTTAAAGCCAATGAAATTATTGTAAAACCGGATGACAATTCTTTGAAACAAACCTCAAGTGATTTCGATCAGTTTGTTCAGTCCGAAAGAATACCTCTAATATCGGATACTTCAATCTTTTCATCATTTCATGAAGACAGAAACAAAATATTTATTTCCTACTACTATTAAAGTTAACGAGGAACCTGAAAACGAAATAAATATATGCAATATGAATAAATTAAAAACTAAAAGATAATTGTACAATGAAATCATATGGGTTGAGATGCTCATATGAGCTCCGTTCTGCTCTTGGCAACGTTGGACCCTTTCCAATAGTAGACCGCATTACTGCTGTTAGCTGTCCTCTCGTAATTCCTCCAATTGCTCTTCTTACCTTCATTTCTAGTTCCTCCCAAGTGGCTGAAGAGGTGTTATAAACTTCATTTTTGATAATACCCCAAACAAAAAAATCAAGGGGTGTGAGATCAGGGGATATAAAAATGTATTTGGATAAAGTCTCTTTTTTGCGATCA